ACCTTCAGTTCTATGTTACTCATCAAAGTACCATGGTATACTATTAAATCTAATACCATCATTTTTTGCAATGCTTAAACCTTCTGCTTTTCTGTGCTTCCTCCAAGTGATAACTTGCTGATGAGTTCACTCCCAGAATCCTGTTGTGTTAGTCCCGGATGATAATTACCTGAGCCAATTTTAATGCAAATCTGTATGCTGCAGTAGTGGAGACTAAACGGACCTGCAAAGGTGGTTAATTGAGAACTGCAGTGCAAGGCAAAGAGCCTGTGGTGCGGTCTACTGGGAGCTAAATTGTATTTGACAGCATCTCATTTCATTTCCTTTGTCAGCACAGCACTCATTGTCATCTCCAATTGGTCCTTTCTAGTCTTGCGGTGACCAAATGATAACCAGCGTCATATGTTGTTGGGCCAATATAAAATGGAAGAAATACACTACAGCAAATGCTTGAACATGATCATTGGGCTGGTAGTAAAACCAAGGGCGTATGTTAACCAGAACTTGCTGTCAATGTGGTTTGTCAGAGGAGACCTTGAGGCCATAGAGATAAATGGGCCCTTAAATTCTCCTCTCCACTTGGCTACCAATGAATCACTTTAAATGCATTGTTTTAGGAGCTTCATATGGTAGTCACGTAAGGAAAGCACTTTCAACTCTCTCTACTTTTTATCACACAATAGATATAGGATAAAGCGGGACAGATAATGGGTGTTGTGGTCGTGAAAGTGCATCTCTCAGGTTAACAAGGGCATCAAACTGAGTTTATTTATAGCTATTCACAGTTTTTCCAGGGGATCGGGGGAGATTTGCATAATTATCAGAATTCGCACAGCACTGCCGCTGCAGATAACGGTAACGAACAACTAGAGTCCCGTCTCCCAATAGCACAGATTTACAGTATAAGCTCACCACGGGACACTTTATGAAGAACCGACTCCAATGAAGCATCACAACATGGCATGTGGGTCTCAAAACTAACCAGCTGAGGTTCACTTACTAGTTTAGTCACATATAGGCTACTCGAAATGCAAGCTCATGTGTTTATTTCGTCTGTAGGACAGAGCCAGGATTCCAGCTGTGCTATTGTTCTTCTGTAATTGGGCGACTTATCTTCCCTCTGGTTGTCTTCTAGCACATCAGGCATATGGTAAATCCAATAGTCATTAAACTGTCACCAGTGAGACAAATACGATCCTCTGTTTGTATCTATTTTCATGTTAAATCAAACTACACGGTAATGAAGACGTGCGTTATACTGTCTTTCTTTAGAGGATGTCAAACCTCCCTTTACTGTCAAAATGTCAAGTGCTTGAAAAAAATGGGCATACAGTAATGGAGGGTGTTTTTTTTTATTACTGTTGCTCATACATAAGGTTAGTGATTTAAATATTAAAAAAAATTAATTTAATGATTTATCTAATTTGAGTATTCACATTGATTATTTAACGGTACGTGCTCATTTTCTCTATATATTTTATATTTAGATCCTTTGTTGTCATCTAATATTTAAAAACACTAATTTATTAACACTGTTACATATTATCTTTAGCAAATTCCAAAATGAATAGCATTTTTAATACCATAAATTCTAATTTTTTTGGCCTAAATTCACTTGTAACATTTAAAACAATTGATTTTAGTTTTTAGTGTTTTATTTTTAGTTTATTTACACAAAATAGTATACAATTGTAATATCAAATCATTGATCATAATACTTATTGGCTAATCGAATTAGCCAAAATTGGAATTATCCTTACATCACTAATTAAAAATTAAGTATTCAAATAAATGTGTCCCCAGAAGTGGACGAAATCTGACAAAGCTTTCATTTGGAGACATCCTTGTTTTTAGAATAATATACAAGCACTTTAAAAAAAAAAAAAAATTCTTCACATGCAAGAAGTTTTCTGTTTTCTGTTTTTATCAGTAAATTATAATATAGAAAATTGTAATTATGACATAAAAGGTTGAAATTATGAGATAGTAGGCTAAGTAAAAAATTTATTCTAAGATAAAAAGTCATAAGTAGATAGAAAGTCAGTCATTTATGATACAAAAAGTCAAAATTATTACATAAAAATCATGACAAAATATTTATTTCATTTTCACTTTTCATGTCATAATTTTGACTATAGTTTCTACTTTTATTTCATAATTATATAATATTTTGACTTTTAATTATGACTTTTTATGTCACATTTATTATTCTGACAGGGATGGGCTTCCATAGATTTTTCTGTAGTAATTAGCTTTATGTAAAACATTAGAAATGTTTGGTACTGTATGTTCCCATTTAGGTGTGTGTGTGATATGGAGAGGTCCCATATGGACATTTTCCCCAGGTGTGATTGGCTTACCCTGTTCTGTCATAGGCCGGTGGGTGGACAGAGGCATAATGTGAAAGTCAGAAACTTATATAACATTTCACAAGGCTTTCCAACAGCCCACCTCGATTTTAAGCCGTTATTGAATGTATCTTAGCGACTAGCTCAGAACAAATGCCGGCAGGGGTTCAGCCACAAAAACATGTATACGCACACTCTCTCATAAAGAAACGATTTGCAAACTGACAGGACCCCTTTGTTCACAAAAGCTGGTCCACAATGCAGCCAGATCGGGATCTACAGCAGGAAGTGAGTGCGTTAGACAGATACGAAGCAGTCGAGAACAGAAAGACCGAAGGATGGCCGGATTTTGCGAGAGAAACGCCAATTTGAATTCATTAGTTGTCACTTTCACTGACAGTAAGTTAGAGCCGCGATTCTGTGTGCGTGCCGGACCACACACACATTAAAACCGGAGCTCAGGAGAGGCCTGGAGTCTCGCCAGCGTTTAGTAATTAGTGAGAGGAGGCCATCACTCACATTGTCACTCTATTGCACCAGCACTCACACACACTCGTTAGGGCACACATGCAGAGTATCCACATGTGTTTCTGGAAAAGCTACAATTTGGGTCAAGCCACACTTGAGCGTGACGCTTTTTCAAAATCTTTTTCTGTATAATCAGCTGGATTCCAGCTGAGCTCTCCATCAATGCTGGTTGAAATTCAAAGCGTCTTTTTTCCTTGTCCGTTCAAAGCTTTCGGTCACATTCACAGTCATTCACGCTGTCGCCCAATCAACTCGCTTGTTTTAATTCACTCAATTGCACCTTTTCACTCACTCACTTCAAATCAACAAAACTGGCTTATCTACTTCCACACACACTCATCTCCTTGGGTTATGTTCTTCATATTTCTCCTTCAACCTCCAGACGCTTTTGTATTTTCAATCCAATATTTGTGTACGTATATGCAAAGGCGCCATGCATCTATTTTTTCCTGGCAATTGTAGTCCTGGCAGTTTCTTTCCCTAGACATGAATAATACATGAGGTAAGACAAAAAAAAAAAAAATCACTTTTAAAGAACTTGTGGTTCAATACTGTGTAAGATATAGTATAAGATGTGTTTGTAGTAGTTCAGGTTTTGTTGAACTTGATATGAGACCATGGGTTCGCATTTCTCATAACAGTTTTGTTGTATGGCAAAGAGCAGCTGTGAGATTATGATTTTGATCTGCATATACAATATACAGTATAGATATCAAAATGTCTATACACACACTGCCATTCAAAAGTTTGGGGCAAGTAATATATATATATTTAAAGAAATTAATAATTTTATTCAGCAAGGATGCATTAAATTGATCAAAAGTAACAATTAAGGCTTGTTTACTTACACTAATGTTCAAAAGTTTGGGGTCAGTAGGCTTTTTTTTTTTTTTTTAACAAATTAGTTTTTTTTTTTTTTTTTTAGCAAGAACACATTGTAAAATTGATCAAAAGGGACATATATAATATCTAAAAAGATGATTTCAAATAAATGCTGTTCTTATGAACTTTCTATTCATCAAAGAATCCTCAAAAAATATATTATTTTTGTTTCCACCAAAATATTAAGCAGCAAAAACTTTTCAGCATAAGAAATGTTTCTTGAGTACAAATTCAGCATATTAGAATGATTTCTTAAAAGATCATGTGATACTGGGACTGGAGTAATGCTGATGAAAATTGTCATCACAGGAATAAATTACATTTTAAAATATATTAAAATTGGAAAAAAATTATTATTTTAAATTATAATAGTATTACTGTTTTTACTGTATGTTTGATAAAATAAATGCATCCTTGATGAGCATGAGACTTCTTTAAAAAAAAACTAAAATCTTACGAACCCCAAAATTGTGAACATTAGTGTATGTGTATGTATTTGTATATATTTATATAAATATTATTTGTATCTCAAATCGGATGAGGCCTATGCAAAATGGACATAAAGCTTCCATGTATACATTTCAGATGACACCAGGGCTTATGGGATTCAATGCTTTAATTCACAGCACAAAATCATGTTTCATCCATAACAATCATCACCATCTCTTCTCTTTTCTATCCTGATATGCAGTTGGATCACGAAACTTGCCCTTAGGAGGGAGAAACCATTAAAGGCACAACACAGTCTTGGATCTTTTACTGCTTCACGCTCCTCTGGCCCACCTGCTTTATGGTCCCTTTGACAAATCACTAGCCTTTGTAGCCACATAAATAGTTTTCCTTTGCTGTTTTACAGTTTCAGGCAAAACTCAATTCAGTTTCATTCAGTGGTGTGACACATGCAAACACATGATGACCTCAGACTTAGCTCCGCATGCGACAAGATGGTGAGATGGAGAATACGGTCCAGAAGATATTCTAGGCTTTGTTGTTGAGTGTGAAGCACCATCTGGAACTCCAGATTGGTCTGTCGTCTCAAAATGATCTATGGAGTTTGAAGAAGATTCAGACGAACGCTAATCCACCAATTCCAAGTGTAGTGCGCTTTGTAGTGAATTTGAAATCACCTTCAGATTGTTCAAGGTCTTTAATATCCCCCGCATATGGCACTTTGTATCCCAAAATTGAATCCATAATGTCTTGAAGCTGCATTGAGCATTATATGGGAGTATAGCCAATGGTTTAGCAACTCAGGATTTTAATAAAGGCTCTACGGAACTCGATGTTGAACGTGGTGTAGATGACTGGATTTAGAGCGCTGTTGACGTAGCCGAGCCAAGTGAAGGCACTGTAGACCTCAGGAGGAATGTGACAAGCTCTGCAGTGAGTGTTTAGGATGTGGGTCACAAAGAAGGGCAGCCAGCAAATAAGAAAAACCCCTGCAAGACAAAAACCACAAACAATGAATAAACAGGAACACATAACAGCAAAATGTGGCAACATCCATTTTGAAAAGAGCTAAAAGTGCATTTCTTATGTGATGCACAGAAGAAATAAAGCCATGAGGCGTTTTAGATTAACTACTCCTTGAACTTCAACTTCTAAGTGTTTTCTGAAAATTGCAAACTGCTTTGTTGGATTTTAAATAAAAAACAGGTGTTTTTAGCACTCAAAAACCTTGACCACTGGCAAAATAGTCATGTGACAACCCTGACCAATTGACTTTGAACTGAGTCAGCTGAGCCATTCCCTCGATCCAAGACATCTGTCTCCATGAGTGTGATTTAATTTCCTCCTCAATTAAGCAGACATCTCAGATTACCATCAATGTCATTTATCACTTTACAGAAAACTGACTCATGGGTCATCAGTCGACACTAATAGAGCCAAATTGGTTATTTGGTACTTGATGTTGTATAAAACTAGTATGTTGGAGTCTGACTATACTCTGTAGGTGTTGCATGAAGCTATTGGCATTCAGCATCTTAGTTTTTCCCCAGGTGGCTTCTTGTCGCAGTCTGACGAGCTGTAGCACATTCCAGACGCAGACTGAGCTTCACAGAGCGACTCTGAAACCCACTTTCAAAATGTCAGATGAGAAACTAAGTGAATCATTGATTGAAAAAAAATAGTATAGTGGCATGTGTTCGGGTTGAAGTGGGGAGGCATCAGGACACCTGATATGAAAGAAAAACAATTTTGCAATAGTGAAGATAAAAATCACGGAATCAATTGGCTGTAAGCAATCAGCAAGACGATGAATTTCATAAATTACATGTCCCTCCCCATCACCTCTGAGACGTGTGAGAGGGAGGAATATCAGTGTTGAAAATGATGTGCGACAGAGGTCGAGTTAATCAAGTCAGTGAAATTACAAAATAAAATGCTGATAGCTTCACCTGGGATTTGATCACGGGACTTCTTACTCTCAATGTGTCACACCACTAGACTTGTTTATTATTGCTTATTTACAATACTTTTCAAAAGTTTGGGGTCAGTTATTTTTTTAAAGGGATAATTCACCCAAAAATTAAAATTGTCATTGATTACTCACCCTCATGTCGTTCCAAACCCGTAAGATCTCAGTTCATCTTTGGAACACAAATGTGCATGCACATGATTTTTCTGCATGTAAACAATGCATGCATTACACCTTGTTTACATTTAGAGGAAATCATGCACATGCATCGTGATACACTCCAAAATTATTTCACAGTATTCCTGTTTTTACTGTATTTTTAATAAAATAAATGCAGCTTTGGCATAAAGAAACTTCTTTCACAAACAATAAAATATCTTACCGACCCCAAACTTTTTAAAAGTAGCTCTTCTATCGTATCTTTGACCTTCAATTTAATCTAAGTGATTGTTTATTGTAACTTATTATATAATGAATATATGATCTCACCTGGGGCACCAAGGGAAAACAGACAAGTGAGTTTAACCTTGAAAATTATGAATACAAATGGCCTTGGGCCAAAACAAGATAGAATGTAAAGTGAGACAATTTTCAAGTTTGGCGTAAATTAAATGTCGCTTCACTGTGTCACTGTTGTCATGATGCTCAGGGCGACAAATGGAAGTAAAAAACAAAACAAATCAGTATGCAAATAAGTGCAAGAAGCAAGACCAAACACAATGAAGTATGCTAATTTTACAGTGATGCCATTACTGTTGAATGGCAAACGTTCTGACAATGTTAACCAATGGGATTTTCCAACATGATGAAATTACTGCCAGAGGGTTTTAATGTATTTAAGCTGAAATGTATTTGTAGAAAATTGTGAAAAATAAAAAGTAGTAAGATGAATTTCAATAGCTCAGTAATGAGTGAACGTGTATGGTCTCTCTTCACTTTAAAGGGATAGTGCACCTGAAAATGAAAGTTCTGTCATCATTTACTCACCCTCAAGTGGTTTCAACTTGACAGTTGCTGGTCCCCACTGACTTCCATAGTATGAAAAAAATACTATGGAAGTCAATGGGGACCAGAAACTGTTTGGTTGTACACATTGTTCAACATTTCTTCTTTTGTGTTCAGTAGAAGAATGAAAATCATACAGGTTTGTAACAACTTGAGCATGATTAAATATGACAGAATTTTCATTTTTTTTGGGTGAACTGTCTCTTTAAAGGAGAAGCATGTAATTTCTGCACCACTAACCACACCAGAAATGCTAAAATAACGTTTTTTTGTTATAAACCTAGGAATCTAATAATAGAGCCTGTACAAGCAGCACAAGCCTCTCACCCAGAACGATGGCCAACATCTGTGTGGCTTTCTTTTCCTTGGAGTGCATACTTCTACAGCGGACCTGACTGGGACACACCACAGGTGGATGCAGGGTGGTGTGTGTGCGTCCGTTTGACAGCTTCTTCACCTCACAGCTCCTAACTGTCACCTGCTCCTCATCCCCACCCTCCTCTTCCCCATGGTTTGCATCTTGCTCAGTACGAGCAAAGGATGCCTGGCTGATGCTGCAGTAGTTCAGCGTTATCACAGGAGGCAGCAGCGAGTTCTCGGCAGGGGCGGTTTGAGGCCGCTTACGCCACGGGCAGCTGGCGAGGAGCCGCGGACGGATCACCTGCTCCTTGGTTTCCTGAACAGATAGGGAGATGAAACGCAAGCATGCAAACTTCAAGGTGCGCAGAATATCTTTATTCCTGCAAGTATGTCTGTTCTATAATTAATTAGCACAAGGAGGTATGCTGTCCTCATTTCCTCGAATAGAATGATATCGTCTCAAGGACTACTGAGTATTTTTGTTGCAATATGAAGCTGATTTCACACCACCTTACACACTGGACTACTTTTGGATTGCTTTCTTGACTTTGCAATTCCATAAGAAAGGGCAATGAAACCGTAACCCTCTGGCTACTAACTACACATTTGCTGTTTTACCAGCTATATCTTATTAAAATCACTCATGTATAATTTCCAGTAACCTAACCTTCTCATTGGATATAAAGTAGTAATGAGAAATACACTACATTATTGAAAATTAGACTTTTAAAAAGTTATTTAAAAAGCTTTTTGATTTTTAGTCCGAGTAGATAGTGGATTATCTTTCTCAAATCAACAAAATAAACAGCAAAAAAAGTCTTATTTTCCATTAAAAATATTAAAACCTCTTTAAAACAAGAAAAATTGACGTTGGATATTAAAGCTTTTTTT